AAGGTATATATATTATTATAAAGGCTTTATAGTAAAAAATAAGTAACTTTATAATTTAGGTTCTATTAAAGCTATATATATAGTTACTATATATTAGTAATTTAGCCTAGTTATACTAGCCTTAGTATACTATTTCTATAAGCTAATTCTTATTAAGGTAAAGGGGTATCTTTACTATATATAAGTAAAGAAAATATTAAAGATATAGATTAAGGTAGTTATACTACTACTTAATATAGCCTTCTAATTAGCTATTATAGATTTAATAAGAGAAGCTAGGCTATAATAGTAATATAAAGTAATATAGTATAAAGGTAAAGTATAATAGTAAAGTAGTAAAATAAGGTAAGTAATAAATAAAGAGCTAAATAATTAACATAGGATAAAAAATAGGTATAGATATAGATAGTATATTTAGCTTTTTACTTCTTTTAATAAGAGGTAATAAGTAATAGGATATATACCCCCTAGGTATATATCTAGATATATACTAGTAAGGCTATCCCTTGTTCTATCTATTTATTTACTATCTACTGTACTTGTCCTATAATAATACTTAATGTCTTGTCTAATCTTGTAGATTACTAGCCTTTTTTACTTTTATATCTACCTTTTAAATAGGTAAAGTACTTTAAAAACTTTAAATAAAGTCTTTTATACTTAAGGGAAAATAAATAAATAACCTAAGTATTTATCCTTAATAACTAGTATCTAGTACGCCTTATTAAAGCTTACTAGATAGTTAAAAAGTTCTTATAAGATATAGTAGTAAGGTTATATTAACTTTACTTCTAATATTTATTTTAAGATAACCTATAAGGCATAGGTTATTATATAGTATTTATATTCTAAGCAGGAAGGTTCTTATATCTTAATTCCTCTTGTGTTTAGAACTAGATACTAAAGTGTATCTAGTCTTAAATACCTTAACTAAAGGTACTAGATATTTATATTATCTATCCTATCTCCCTATGTATTATAAGACAGTTTTTAATATTAACCTTATAACCTTAAGGTAGAGAATACACCTATAAGGCTATAGGGTATAGGTAGAAAGGAGTATATAGAATAGACGTTGTATTAGAGAAAGACTAGGTTAAACTTTTATACAAGGCAAGTAACTACTTTACTCTTCTTAATAAGACTTCTCTAGAGAGTATAGTTATAACTATAGTACTAAACGTCTACTCTTTATAGATATACCTCTAAGATAATGTTTATATAGAAGTTCTTAACGTAATAAACATTAGTTAAGACTAGGTTAACTATATTTAGTCTATTTAGTCCTAATAGGATCCTCTTAAGAACGCGCTTCTTTTTCTTAATAACTAGGAATCAGGATAATCCTAATTTAACACACTTGTCTAACTTAGGATCCTAGTAGAATATAGGGTTCTCTCTCTCCTTTACCTTATAGGCTAATAAGTTAATAATATTTATACTAATATTTATTAACTACTTTACCTATAACTTTTATTATAATTATAAATAAAAGTAGAGATATTAATATTATTATTATAACTTATAATTAATACTAATTAGTAGTTTTTATTATAAATTATAAAAATAAAATACTATAAAGAGTACTAATTAATTTAGAGCTTATTTAAACTATTAAGATCTGTTTTTGCTAATCTTAAATTGTTGTGGTAACAGAAGGAGATGGGGAGGACATGGGAGCCACATGAGTAATCACGTAACTCACCGCCCGGCAGAATATAGGGTCCCCCACCTACTTAAGTATTCAAGATACGGCCGTCCGTGTACAATTATTGGCCGAACCTATTCCTTGCCTCACTCCATGACCCCCTGCCTGACTTGGAAATCTCGACGCGTTCCCTAGGGCCTCCTATTAGCTGATACTACCAGATGTGGATAATGGTTTGCGCAAGTAGGGGTTTTGTGCATGTGGGGTGGGGTAGTTATGCATTACATACCTTGCTGTGCCCTATTAATTAATACCTATACTTATTTATTTAAGTCTTCGGACGCCCCATTTAACCTATTAACGCTGCACTAACTTAACCTATCCTATATTTCACTATTCCTTTATTCCCACCAAAAAAAAAAAAAAAGGAAAGAAGAGGAAAAAAAATCACCCTTTTTTTTTCAACTATGAAGCCGCTTATTATTAGAACACCCACTATTGTCTTAGTCACTGGCGCTGTTAGGTTGTAAGCATCTTACATGTAGCGTTGCTGCTAACAACGAAATCCACAATGCTACTATAAGTCTAGCAAGCAATTGCTTAAAACTCAATTAAAACCTCGCCCGCTTTACTACTATTGTCATAGGAATAACACGCGATGGATCATCCAACATGCCAAGACTGAAGGTAGATAAAGGCTGTGAAGGTTTAAGGGACTAATATGTTGAAGCTTAGGCAATAAGCAACTACTATACCGTATCCACTGAGCAAACCCGCCTTTAGCTACTGCACGAGCTAACGGCCAGGGGTATCGCGGCCGCCAAATAAGGGCTGGCGTACTGGCAGAAACAGGGATCTAGAAAGACAAAAGCAGGGGTTAGTCATTTACGTCAGCAGGAAGTTAAGGCGTAAGAACAGTAAATAAAGGGCAAGTGGGCAAGTGGGTGAATAGGTAGATAGGTTGACCGCTTTCCATATTGAGCTTAGCGCCGTACGTGGCTACTATACCCCTTGCCGTTAGCTCGTGCAGTAGCTAAAGGCGGGTTTACTCAGTGGATACGGTATAGCCACAGATGTGGAGTACGGGTATACCGAAGCAAGTATGTAAACAAGGATTATCGCGATTGTATGTACAGGAATCACTCCTACTTAAGTCTATCATACGCCCGACATTTCCGTGAATGCTACACCATCCTCACTACTCTCATTCGTTCTTGTCACCGAAACAGACACTCTTTTGAACAAACATAATGCTTATTACTAAAACCCTTGCCGTTGTCATAATCGCCACCGCTGCGGAGGCGTGTGCCAATTACCACCAGTGCCGTTGCACCATGGAGGATGGCTCAATCAACAACACTGCTACAGGTGCAGCTCTGACATATCTGAACACAAAGGGCTTCAACATTATTTATAACTATCCTGCTACGCAAGATAACGACGGCACGCTATGGATCAAGCGGTACTTCAATGTTGTTAATGGCGACTGGGTCCCTCTCAACAATTGTAAAGTGCGCGAGGCCTGCACTAAGGTGGGCGCCACTGGAAACGACTCTTGGTGTGAGCACTAGTATCCTTAGGTTAAGAGGGTTGGCTACGAGGGAGAGGGCGCTTTGCCGGGGCAAACATAGGCAACCGCGGCAAGGGCAGGAATGAGAACGAAACCGAGAGGAACAGAGAGCAAGTGAGCAGGGATCAGGCAGACGTTGAGGCCTTGCTGATGATGACAGCCGTCAAGCGATTAGGTAACGGGCTCAATCACACAAGCATCGAGCTAAGTGTCGTTTCTCAAACCAAAAACTGCCATCTTCAGGCTGCAGTAAAATAGACATTAGCGCATTGTTTCAATCTGGCTCTGCTGCGTGAACAAACATCTGCAAACTAAGTTGAATTACTGTAATTTATTAACTATATCAAGGCTGAGCTGTTGCCATAAGAATCACATTGAAAGCTACAATTAACAAGAGTGACTGTGTGTGAGGCTGTGCTGCTCATTATTGTAATAAGATGGAATAGAGATATAAGCTCTTGGGAAATGAACAGGGATATCGATTCCATTATACATTATCTCCCTACTTAGAGATCTTGTTCCTGTCTCCAGTACTCTTTAGCTGCCCACGCCAGCAGCTACTAAGTTGTCTTGATCAGGCAGTATTAGTACTTGACAGTACAAAACTGTCTGTACTTACAACCTGTGATGAAACGCAGCGTCTGTTCATAAGAGAGAAAAGTAGTTGTCCTATTAAGAAACTAGATATAAACCGGAGAAGTAGTAGAAATACCCTTCTAGTAAGGTCCGTGCGAGTGGTACACCACATCTGTGGCGGACGCTGCTGGCATTAGCCACACGAAGCTATTCCAGCTTCACGATACACTGCCTATACCCATATGCAGCGATTATTCAAGCCCAGGAGGATTATCTGGCTAGATGGGTTCAAATCCAGGATGCCCTAGGCGCTGGCCCTACCCATCAACAACTAAAGGGCCTGGCAGAGCGTATGCTGGGCGATATTCAACCTCTAGGCAAGAGATGGATACACCGATTCCTACGGCGAAACCCATCAATTAGGACCCAGCGATCTAGAGCAATAGATGCCCGGCGATGTAAGGCCCATTCTTCTGAGGCTATCCAGGGTTTTTTCTATCGTCTGACCAATATCCCTGCCATCCAGGGAATCCATCTATCTAACCGATGGAATATAGATGAAACTAGTATTATCGAGGGCAGGGGATCTAATGGGCTAGTGCTAGGCTCTGCGGCATCACGATATATACAGAAAAAGCAGCCAGGATCTAGGGCATAGATATTGCTGATAGAATGTGTGTCAGCTGCTGGGACCTCCCTACCTCCCTTGGTTATATATAAGGGCAAGTCAGTCCAGACCCAGTGGTTCCCTTCTAACCTATCTAGATATGATAGCTAGCACTTTACAGCAACAGATAACAGCTAGACAACTAACTAGACTGCCCTTAAATAGTTAAAGAAGGTCTTTATCCTAGGCACTATACCTAGGAAACTAAAGGCAGCTAGACTACTAGTTCTAGATAGCTATTATAGCTATATATCTATAGACTTTATATAGGAATACTTTTAGAACAAGATATATCTACTATATTTACTACTATACTCCTCTGCTGCCCTCTAGCTACTTAATATATTAGTCTTTAGCTAATTAAAGTATACCTATTAAAGGGAGGTTAGATATCTAGATAACTAGGTTAGTAATTTAACTATTACTAGAAAAAAGGCGTTTTTAGCCTATTATATAAAGGCTAAAGATATAGCTATAATAGTCTAGAACATTAGAAGTAGCTAGAGGTTAGCTAGACTATAGCTAATATCTATATAGTAACCTCTATTTAACCCTATAGTAACTAAGGACTAATAGACTAGCTAGACTAGCTAGTAAACTAACTAGCCTAGTAGCTAATAGTAGGATAAAGCTATATCTATTGTCCTATAGTTAACCCCTTGTTAGTCTACTAACTTATAGTATTAATTACACTAGTTAACCTAGTTAGCTAAGGATAAGTTAGATACCTATACTATTTATTACTTATCTAGAAAGGTATAAAAAGGATATAATAAGGAGGTATTCTAATAGACCCTTCTAGAGAAGGAAAACAAGGCACTTAAAGCCTAACTAGATAACCTTCTAAATTATAAGAGGAAGAAGGTCCCTCTATTACTTAATAGCACCTTTATAACTATATAGGATATCTAGTAGGCGTAAAATATAGATATTAGTAATATAGATAGTCTAGTTAAATCTAGTGTATCTAAATTATCTAGAGAGGCTAAAAGTTATATATAGGTAGGCAGTAAGCCTAAGGAATAAGTAGTAATAGTAGTAGTAATAGTAGTAGTAATAGTATTTTAGATGTAGGGGTGTTTTACAAGTAGGGTAGTTAAGTTAATATAGTATAAGTAAAAGTGTCATAAGAACATATGCTACCTAAAAAGGTTAGATAATTCTCTAAAAGAAGTAACAAGGTGCTACTAAGAAAACACACCCGCTAGCTATACAACTAGCTTATATAGAAAAAAGCAACAACTCTTGCATAGCTTAGAACTAGAATAGCTAAACTAAACTACTATCTACATTAGATTAATGTAACATCCTTAGATTTATATAGGTGTAGATAGGCGGTAGAAATAGTAGAGTATTTTCTGTTCTAATGCATTAGGTAGATAATGTTCTAAACTAAGATACTTTAGTATACTAAGACATAGAGGAGCAATGTCTTCTTTTATCTAGGAGGCAAAGGCCCCTTAGACAACAAGAAGTAGAAGCTAAATATACAAGCAGTTTAAGTAATAATATAATTTACACTAGTAATAAGCTGTCTAGATATAAAGTAATAAAAAACAGAATTAGAAGACCCCCTAATACACTAAAATAGATATAACCTTAACTAGCTATTAACCTATGCTATAAACAGTAGGTACTACTTTAGCTACTATAGATAGGATATTAAACACTTAGAGAATAGGCTTTAAGATAGTATACTAATAATATAACTACACTACAGGGATCTATAGCAAGAAGGTAGATTTAGAGGAAGTAGAAAATAGAGATAGTACTTATAGGCTTTTAGGAGACTAGGATATGAAATTAGCACTATATATATAGTTAGCTTTAGCTACCCTTTTAGCTTTACCGCTAGGTATAATAAATTATATATATATATATCTATATATATAGACCTACTAATGTATTATATCCTAGGTATACTACACTTAGGTTTACAGGGGGCACTTACTATTAGCTTATACGTAGACTTATATATCTTTATCCCCTATTCTATATTACTAGTATATATTACGCCTAGTAGTAACTAATAAGGTTATAATATAAAAAGTAAAAACTACTTTACCTCTATTACGCTTTATATAGTATAAAATAAGCCCCTTATTAGGAGTAAGGTCTTAAGGGCTTATTATAATTACTATATTTATTAGTTTTGTGTTATATAGAATAATATATATCCTAAGATTTTAATAACTTACAAGTAGTAAAATTATTAATTTATAAATATATTACTACTTTGTCTTCCTTAAGAGTACTATTTAAATTAAATATATCTTTACTTATAATTACTTAGCTTCTTCTCTACAGTAATTAAGATTGATATAACCTAGATTTTTTTACTTTATTATACTCTTATACTAATTATAAGATATATTATCTTAAGTTATTATTAATTTTCTGTCTACTAAATCTTGTCTTTACTAGGTAAAAGCTAAAGAACCTATTTTACTAAAAGAATTATAAATATAGCTTAGTAACTAGTAGTTTATTATACTCTACTGTTATAGTAGGAGTAAATAATATTAGAATTATTACTAAGGACATAGGTAATAGTAATACCTTAAAATACTTAATAGCCTAAGCCTATATAATTAATAATACTATTAAGAATATATATAAGTATACTAGAGCTATATACTCTTTTCTTAGTTAACCTAGAGCTAAGAGATCTACTGTATTTATTAAATAGTTTAGAGGTAAGTTTTACTTTAACGTAAAGCACTTAAATATAAAGATAACTAATTTAATCTTTACTAATAAAAAATATAGATATTCTTAGCCTAATAAAAATATATAGTATATTTAAGAATATTTATAGCTTAAGGTTAATAAGTAATTACTATATTTAAAATATAGAAAAGTTAGGCTAAACTATTATAAGGTAACTAGGACTATAGGCTATAATAGCTATACTAGTAGCTATACTAGGTGTAGCTAATAAGCTATAGAGACTACTAGGGCTAGGTATAGACTACTAGAGATTATATAACTAAGAAAAGGTTTATAGAGAGATTTAAAGGCAAGGCTATAAAGAAAGGCCTTACTATAGTTTTCTTTTTCTTTTTATCTTAGAATCTTTATTCTAGGTAATATAGTTATAAGTTATTTAACTTTAGTTATTACTACTATAACACTATTCTAAGATCTCTTTTTTATTCTCTAGAGATAAAAAATAATATCTTCTTTATACTATTAAGCTTTAACTAATAAGTACCCTTAAACCTTATTTATAATACTATTATATACTAGCTAATAATATACTTACTAATTAACCCTTTTTTTTATTAAGAATAGCTTAATTTATAAGTATTAGTAGTCCTATTACTTTTAATACTAAGACCTTTACCTCTATAAGAATTCTACTAGCCAACTACTATAGTACCTTTATAGAAGATAAAGAATAAGACTTTACTAAAGTCTTAGCTTTTAACTTTAACTACCCTCTTAAAAATATTAACGCTAAAAACTTCTTTATATTTATTAACTAGGCTACTTATAGCTAATATATTAATAACCTAGTTAATAGTATTACTACTTCTCTTTAGCTAAAAAATATTAGCTTATTTATTAATAAAAAAAGTATAAATTTACCTAAGAGCTATTTAAAAAGCTTTACTACTATAACCTAACTAACCTTTATAACTAGGTATACTAATAACTTACTATAAGACTTACCTAGTAACACCTAGAGCTTAAACTTAGCTCTATTACTATAGTATATACTAATAACTAAGAAGTTTTATTTACTAAGACTAAAGAACTTATTACTAACTATAAGAAGTATATTTTTATAATTACTTTACTAAAGACTAAACTTAAAAAGGTAAAAAACACTAACTTTACCTTAAATAACTAAATAGAATACCTAAAGTAATAATAGGCTAATAAAACCTAAGACTATATAGTCTTTAAAGACCTATAATAGTAAGTTACTAGCTTAAAAGCTAGAGGCTTATATACTAACTTTTTTATTTTCTTAATAACTAGTAATAATACTTACTAGTATAAGAACCTTAAACTCTCTAAAGTCTTTATTTTTACTAGGATTAAGGATAAAAAAGATAGTAAAAACTTAAAGTTTAAGCACTAGCTTTTCTAAATTACTATTTAACTTAAGAATTA